AGGGCCAGGTACGAGGAGCCCTCGCTCCCCTCTGTAATGCAGGTTCTGCTTCCTGGTGCGGCCGCGGGTCAGGACGATGAGGTTCATCGCTGGTGAGTGCGGCACCGGGGGCAGGCGTCCCTCGCCGGGTTCCGGTGCTCTGGGCCACCGCTGGGAGCGGGCCTGAGAGGGGCTCCAGACGAGCCCCGTGCCCGAGGCCTCACTTGTGCCCGGGGCGTTGGGGCCCCGTGAGCTGTGGGGCCCCGGGCCGAGGGGGGGCAGCTGTGCAGGGGCTGTACGGGGTGTCCACAGATATTGTCAATGCTGACAAGATGTCGGGGAGAAGCAGGAAGTACAAGATCATCTTCAGCCCCCAGAAGGTCAGTGCGACCCCGCTGCCCGTTCCCACATCATACTGTGCCTGCCCAGCCTTTGCACCTCCCACCCCATCTGTTGGCACCAAAAGTTGTGTGTCGCTAACCCAGGAATGTTTAACTAAAATCGAGTGTTATGATGCCTGGGAAGGAGCTGGGTCGCTCCAGAGCTTCTCCCGCTCAGAGCCTACCTGGTCCTGAGAGTCTCCCCTTCTCTTCCAGTTCTATGCTTGTGAGATGGTGCTGGAGGAAGAGGGGGTCTTTGGTGGTGAGTGGAGCTGTGATGCTGGCTCAGGGTAGCTCTGGCACCGCAGGGTTCCGGTTGAATCCCAGTATAGGTATCCCTGTGTGGGCAGGGAACATGAGTTGCTTTGAGGGTAGCTGCCAGTCTGTGGGCAGGCATGTGCCCACCACAGCACCAGCCCCTCTCCTCTGCCTGCCGGGAAGAGAGAGGGCCCTGCCACCCATCCTGTCTCTCTGACACCCTGTTTTGGGGTTGTCACGATCCCTGGGGCTGTTCATGCACAGGGATGGGTAACGGTCCCCTCTCCCTACCCCAAACCCAGATGTCACCTGTGATGAATGGTCTTTCTACCTGCTGCCCCTGGACGAAGATATCATCAGCATGGAGCTGCCTGAGTTCTTCCGCGACTATTTCCTGGTCAGTGGGACGTGGTGGGTGGCAGCCTATCGTGTCCCCTGTGTCTTGGGACAAGGGCAGCATTTGGAGAGCAGGTGTGATGTCCTGCTTGGCCCCTCAGCCACACCACGGGTCCTGTCTGCTCCCCAGGGGTGCCTTTTGGGGGTAGTGGCTGCTCCCACCCTGTGCTTGCCCCTCTGCTCCCTTTGGAGCAGCTTTGGGGCATCCCAGCATGTTCCTGTGTGTATTCCTGTGCACGTACCTCCTGGAAGCGCCCAGCCCAGGGCCCATTCTGTCCCCAGTCCAGTCTCCTGGCAGTCATTCCCAGCCAGCTGCCCACACACGCTCCCTGGTCCCACAGGAGGGGGATCACCGCTGGATCAACCCCGTTGCCAGAGCCCTGCAGTTGCTGAACTCCCTGTACGGCCCTTTTGGGAAGGCCTATGGCATCGGCCGCTGTGCCAAGGTACAGCCGGTACTGGGAGTCCCTCAGGTCCCCTTCAGCTGTGTGGCAGAGCTGGCACACCTCTGGATGGCGCTGGGAGCTCGGCAGGCTTTTGGGGGTCCCATGTGCCAAGGGTGGGCAGGAGAGCAGCGGCTCCTGCTCACTGGGGTGTGTCCTGGAGGGGGGAACGCTTGTGCCTGTCCTCCATCATGAGCCTCAGTGTCCCCCGTGGGACATCCTGGCCGTGCCTTGGCTGCACCCCCACCCTGGCACATTCTGCCCCTGACAGATGAGCCATGAGCTGTGGCGGGACCTGGAGGAGGAGAGCGAGGGTGAAGGCCAGGGCAGGAAGCCCGAGATTGGACATGTCTTCCTCATGGACAGAGGTGGGCTGGGGTGGGAGCAGCTGGTGAGAGTGGCCAGGGGGGAGCAGTTTGGGCAGCGGTGGAGGGGCAGGGAGAGCCCCCGGGAGGGCAGCCTGGCACTGGCTCTCCTTGCAGATGTGGACTACGTGACAGCGCTCTGCTCCCAGGTGGTCTATGAGGGGCTGGTGGACGACACCTTCCGTATCAAGTGCGGTGGGTGCCCGGGGACGGTGATGGGGCAGCCGGGGGCTCCGCACTCAGGACAGGGGTGGCATGGGGCTCTGCACCCCCCTGCCCAGAGTCCACAGGGTTTGTGCCCGGCACTGTCGTGCACAGGGCCGTTCCCACAGGGACAGTCCTGATGTGAGGTGCTGCTGGAGGTCGTCCACAAGGACAGCCCTTGCTCTGACCAAGCAGCTGGGCCACATCCCCTGCCTCTGCTGCAGCAGGGCTGGTGTGTGCGGGGATGCCACTATGGCTGGGACAAAGCAGCTCTTCACTTTTCCCTGCAGGCAGTGTGGATTTTGGGCCAGATGTCACTTCTTCTGACAAGAGTATTAAGGTGCTGCTCAATGCCCAGGACAAAGTGAGTCCTCCCAAGCCTCAGGGGAAACAGGTCCTCATGGGGGGAGAAGGCAGAGCAGGGCATTCCCTCCCTTAAGCCTGAGCAGGAGTGGCCAGGGGCTGCTGGCCCCCTGAGTACAGATTGGGATGAGCTGGGGCACAGAGACCAGGGAAACATGGTCTGCAGGTGCAGCTCCACTTCTGAACTTGGCAGAGTCCCCACACACAGGGGCTGTTTTGTGAATGAGTGTTTTAAAGTTGCTTAAGGAATCGCCATCAAAGGTATTGGAAAAAACATGTTTAATATAAAAGCAACAGCTTGACAAAGTTTGGTGGCAAAACAATCACTCTAATTCAAAATCAACCCAAAAATATATATATGGAGGCTGAGATGGCAATAGGGGCAGAGAAAAGGATAGGAAAGAGTAAGGAAAAAAAGGAATATGGACTATGAAATGGAATATGGAATATGAAAAAGGAATATTGTGGCTCAACTGCTGTTGAGTCACAAGGTTCATAGTAACTTTTCATCCTGGCCACAATTCAGGTCGGTAACTTTCTATGAAAGTTTGATAATAAAAATATTATTCCACTTGGGTTCAATAAAGCAAGAAAAATAAGTTTCCAAGGCTGTTTGTTAAAAAAACAGAGCTTGTTAGACAGCACTAATTCTTGGGAACAGACAGTGCTTCTGAAAAGCTTGAGAAGAGCTCAACCCAAGTGCTGTTCATAAAGGCTGATCCCTAAGGAGCATTTCTCAGATGATAGTGCAGGGGGATGCATCACCACAGGCTGCCGTGCCTCTGGCCAGGGCTTTGGGGCTGGCTGCTGGTGGGCGCTGGCCCCGGGGGTGCAGCCGGCTGGGCCCGACAGCTGCGGTGCTCCTGCAGGTGTTCAGTCAGATCCGGAATGAGCACTTCTCCAGCGTGTTCGGCTTCCTGAGCCAGAAGTCACGAAACCTGCAGGCACAGTACGACGTGAGTGTCACCCGGCGTGCGGGACACCCGCGGCACTGTCCCTGTGTGCAGCCAGGCCACCTCCCTGACGCTCTCTCCCTTCTGCAGCGGCGCCGGGGCATGGACATCAAGCAGATGAAGGACTTTGTGTCCCAGGAGCTGAAGGGACTGAAGCAGGAGCATCGCCTGCTGAGCCTGCGTAGGAACCAGAGGGGAGGGAGGGGTCCTTGGCTGTATTGCAGGTGCCTGAGTTCTGGGGGAAGGGGGGAGCTCGGGGGGCCCTACATGTCCCCAGGAGGGGCAGGTGACCCAAGCAGTGGGCAGGGCGGCAGGGGCCGTTGGTGTGTGCCAGTGCCTGAGGTGACAAGCTCCCTGCAGAGCCCATTCCCCTACAAAGCTGCCATCTCTTGGTTCCACAGATATCGGTGCCTGTGAGTCCATCATGAAGAAGAAAACCAAGCAGGACTTCCAGGAGACCATCAAGGCCGAACACTGTGAGTACTGCTCCCTGCCCCTATCTGCACCTACCCCTATCCTAGTCTGTCCCACAGCTCCGCTCACCCCAGGCAGCCTCACAGGTGTCCCCAGCATGGCCACTGTCCTCCCAGTCTCTTTGTGTGGGGGTATGTCTTGAGATCCTAAATAGGGTCAGGTACCCTCTGTGTGGGGGATGGTGTGGGGGCTCTGTTCCTCAGGGCTCTGGGAGAGCAGCTAAGCCCAGACCACAGCTCGGTGAGCTGGCACGAGTCCAGGGTGACAGTGCCTGTGCTCTCGCCACAGCACTGCTGGAGGGCTTCGACATCCGTGAGAGCACCAGCTTCATTGAGGAGCACATCGACCGGCAGGTGAGGCCGTGGGACCGGCTGCTCCGGCCGCCCTATCCTGCCCCTGCTCACCACCTGCTCCCCACAGGTGTCCCCCATCGAGAGCCTGCGCCTCATGTGCCTCCTGTCCATCACAGAGAACGGTGAGTGCCCGGCTGGGCTGGGCTGGAGCAGTGGCACTAGGCCCCTGCCCTGGCACAGAGCTCACCTGATGCTTCCCACAGGTCTCATCCCCAAAGACTATCGCTCCCTGAAAACCCAGTACCTGCAGGTGAGGGGCTCAGAGAGTCACAACAGAGCAAGGGCTGTGTGGGACAGGGGTTCTCCTCCCTATGGCTCTGTCCACAAGACACGGGGCAGCAGTGCTCCCCAGGGATGGGCCCTGCCTCTGTGAGCCTTGTCTCTGAATGATAGCCCCTGCCTCCACAGGCTCTGCCTGAGCCAGGAGCTCTGCCTGTGCCTGCCAGGGGGCTCTGAGCAGCCTGTGCCCCCTTACAGAAGGGACACCCTTCCCATGCTTGCAGCCAGGGCTCCATGCTGATCTGGCTGCTCTGTTCCCAGAGCTATGGGCCCGAGCACTTGCTGACCTTCCACAACTTGAAGCGCATCGGGCTGCTGACGGAGCAGGCGGCTGGGGAGACCCTGACAGCGGTGGAGAGCAAAGTCAGCAAGCTGGTCACAGACCGTGCTGCAGGTGAGCCAGCCTGCTGCCCTCATGCCCTTGGGAGCCTGGCAACAGAAGCTGCTGCCTTAGAGCTGGCTGGAAGCACGTGGCAAATGCAGAGGCTCCAGGCACTGAGTGTGTCCTCAGCAGTGGTGCTGCAGGCAGGGCACTGGGCTATCCACAGGGGCAGTGGGGCTGGCAGCCACCATGGCCATCTTCCAGAGCCCACAGCTCTGCACATCCCGCTGCCAGCCTGGGGCTGGGACCCAGGCAGGGTCTCTGAAACATTTCTCCATGCCATGTTTTCCAGGAAAGATCACAGATGCATTCAATTCTTTGGCCAGGAAGAGCAATTTCCGAGCCATAAGCAAGAAGCTGGGGTTGGTATGTCCTTGGGGGCTGCTTGCTGGCCACAGAGCAGAGCCCATGCCCGAGCTGCAGGCTTGACATCTCCAAGACACACTGCTCAGGGCTGGAGCTGGAGCTGCTGCAGCCACTCTGGGCAGCCTGTGGGCTTCTCCCTGGGACTGGGGGGCAGTGCCAGCTCCCCACTCTGCCCTTGACCAGTGTGGTGGAGGGCTGGGGCTTGCCTTGCCCCCTTCAAACAGAGCTGTCCTGGGGTCAGCCCTGTGGCCTCTGTCGTGGGCCAATGGAGAGGTGCTGGGGTGCTGGTGCAGTGATGTTTCTGTCCATGGCCCCCCGATGCACTGCCCGCCCAGGCTATGCAATGCTGGTCCTGGGGCAGCGGGGCAGGAGGTGGGGGCAGAGTGTCTGTCCCTCCTCACCCCCTGTGCCTCTGAAGGGGGGTGAGGCCCCAACCAGGCTGGTCCCATACCCCTGGTGTTGCCTATCCCTGCAGATCCCCCGGGTGGAGGGTGAGTACGACCTCAAAATGCCCCGGGACATGGCGTATGTTTTCGGCGGGGCCTACGTGCCCCTGAGCTGCAAGATCATCGAGCAGGTGAGCTCACCTGCTGCGGGGGAGAACTGGGCACATCCCCTTGAGCCCCTACCTCCCTCGGGGGGTCC